TTTTTTCCCTGAGAATACCTTAGAATATGGGCTGAGGATTTAAGGTTGTATGTGAGCTTGCTTGTCATGGTACCTTGTCTGATAACTGAGAATTTTCTGGTTCAGTTAAAGTTTATGGAAAACATGGATAAAATAATCAGTATTGTGAATTATATGAACATGCTGAAGATAATACAATAAAATGTTTGATAAATAATGAATTTGTGTTAAGATCAAAGAGAAGGAAGCAAATTCACTGGATATCTACCAGGTGTTATACAAGATGACTATGTATTTTGCATTTGTTTTCCCATGTTATGCCACAACCAGCTAATGAGATAATAGTACCTCATTTTAAAGCTTCAGAAAATGAGGTTCAGAAAAGTTGAATAATACCAATGGCCACAAGTCTATTAGGTGTCAGTGACTAAAGAGCTGTATCCATATATGAGCAATCATTCTGCCATGTGTTGCGTGCTAAGTTGCTTCAGCTGTGTCAGACTCTTTGCGACCCCATGGACTGTAGCCTGCCAGGCCCCTCTGTCCATGGGATTCTCCAGGCAAGAATACTGGAGTGGGTTGCCTTGCCCTCCTCCAGGGGACCTTCCCAACCCAGGGATTGAACCCATGTCTCTTGTCTCCTGCAATGACAGGCGGTTCTTTATCACTAGCACCACCTGGGAAGCCCCACATGGTTTCTGCGCCATGCTAACCTGCAAAAATCACTGAAAAAATTACATAATCTTTTTTATTTGTCTGAGTGGTTGGAGCAAACAATCTCTACATGCCTTTAGAATGTCAAACATTTATGACTTAAGTATGAGAAAATTTTGGTTTTCTTTTTACTGTACTTACCAATGCTGAGATGTCAAACTAGCCTTCAGGCCTGGGAAAAATTGTCTAACTGATGACAAAGATGTCTAGCTTAAGGTACAGAATTACTTTATTACCTTAAAGTACAATTCTTTTCTTTTTCTGAACTGAACTATCAGTTCAATTTCAATATCAATTATAGCTGAAGGGCTACCCCTGTGGACATGTGTATAGTTCATTACCAAGACGGTCAGTAGCATATACAGCAAAATTAGAAAGTGGGGAGCAAGTTTAGTGAGTGAAATGGTTCCATATAAATATCCAAATATTATAAATTATATATATTTGGATATATATAAATGAGAATGAAATCCTATTTAACTGCCACCTGTACATTTCTTACTATAGACAGATGACCATTAAAATATTAACATTAAAATATATTTCCAATGTATATATTTGAGCCATTCAAATAGATTTTAAAAGACCACTTTACCCTCTGGGCTTCCTTGGTGGCTCAGATGGTAAAGAATCTGCCTGCAATGTGGGAGATCTGGGTTTGATCCCTGGGTCAGGAAGATCCTCTGGAAAAGGGAATGGCAACCCACTCTAGTATTCTTGCCTGGAGAATTCCATGAACAGAGAAGCCTGGCTGGCTACCCATCCATAGGACTGCAGAGCTGGTAACCAACTGAGCAACCAACACTTTACCCAAGATCTCAGCTGAAGCTTATTTGATATTTTATCATTTTACTTACCTCTTCTCCCTCACCCAAAATTATTTTGTAAATGATGAAAAGCCACCCTGAATTAATGAGAACATGCTCGATATTATTTTTCTCATTTGGTTCACATTTAGTTGGATAAAGTGAAAACATTTCTGTTGAAAAGAATCAGTACACTTCTTCAATTAGGTCAGGGCTTCCTGCCATTTAAAATTGACAGAAAAAGCAAAATGTACCAGACTGCAACACTGGAAATAGAGCTATTAGACCTCCCCAGGATCTCTGGTCCTAGGTTTGACCTCAAGTCCCTTCTGCCCAGAACTAGTGACTGCTTCAAGGGGATTTCACAACTAGCTTCATGAGACAGAAGGAAAATAGCAGAAAACTTCTAAAGTCAGCTTGACACCATGGTGCAATTGGATATACTATATCATCAAAAGAAAGAAGCCCATCACAAATTAACACCTTTTTTAAATACTCAGAGGTAGGTTTTATGTGACTGCTATGAAGATGGTCAAACATAGACATAAAAATAAAACAGATCTAAACATGAACTCACAACCACATCTTAAGGAAATAAAGTAATGTAGAGATCTAGTTAAGAGGATAAGCTTTGAAGTTGGAAGTTCTGAGTTTGCATTCTAGCACAAACATTCACTAGCTGTGTGACCTTGGGCAAATCTCTTACTCTCTCTAATCCATAATTTATTGAATGATTTGTAAAAGAGGGATACATGACTATCTCTCACAGATCTGAGAAGTAAATGGAATGATTTATGCAAATTGATTAGCACATTATTTGGCAATAAGTAAATATTTTAAGAATATTCAACATCATGGTTATTGTGATTTCAGGAACTTAATTCAATCAGAGGCACACTCACTTTAAAGGGTTTCCCTCCCCAGGTAAAAGAAAAAAAAACAAAAATGTCAACACCTATCTAAAAGAGTCAATGTAACAAGACCATATAAAATAAATGACTGCTTTGCCATTAATTTCTTATGGTTTATTCCCTGGTTTTATATGCACCTGTTAATGATAACTTATATGGAAAATAATAACTACATTCATAATTTAGAATTGTTATTGCTTTTTTTGAAATAGTCAAACTATCAATATTTTAAACATCCACAATTTATTCATTAAAAACATACATGTCCCCAAAGAAACTATATATACATCATCTAGCAAAACCTATCTTGTGAATATTGTATCTTAAATAGAGAATCATCATATGGGTATTTCCATTTTCATATTTTTACCATAGTTTTCAGATAAATTTGATAATTATTCATAAATATTCATTTATTTTGAAAGTTATGGAAATGTGCAGTTGTATCTTGCTGGAAAGTCACATAACACTTTTAGTCTCAAGTAAGATGTGATTGGCATTGTTTTCAGAGATCATTGCTCAAATGATAAAGGTCAGTGTTTATGCTCAAAAAAACAATCAGCAGAGTGATTTGGTTGTATGTCATTAGTTATAAAGTCATTCTCAATTTGTAAAGAGAAGTAAAAGGAGTTGTGACTATAAAGCCAAAGGCGGGAAAAAAGTCTAAATTTTGTCATATCTAGGAGTATCAGTCTCTTAAGTCAAAACAGAACTATGAAATTGCATTTTATATTGTCAGGTAAGAAAATAATGCTTTCTAATTGTTAACCTGGGGTTTCAAAACCTGACTAAAGTGAATTTTATTCTCAGAACTGCTTAATAAGTAATGGATAAGCACATAAATAAAAATTGGGTAATGTCACATAGGAAAACTCTTGATGCTCCTTCAGTGGCTATCGTTAAGAATACATTACATTTGTTGTGTCGAACAGAGTAAGCAATTACTGCCCAGAAACAAAGGTATTATGAAATAATCTTCAAATCTCTCTTCCTTGAAGATTCATTTCTAAAATAACTTCCCAATGACACTTCTCCTTCAAAATTCAGAAGAAACCAAGCCCAACTCTGAATGTGATCTTCAATTATATGTTTATTATTTCAATCACCTGTTTTAAGTTTCAATCATATAAGCTGATTGCGTTGCAAGCACAGAGTCAAGGAACACTTGTAGAATCAAAAACGCATGAGTGGTATAAACTGGCCATGTAGATTTTTCTCTTCCCTTACCAGAGATACAACCGTATCAGAAATGTCTCCTCTGCTAGAAATTTCCTGGGAAAATGGCTAGGAAGCTCACCAAAGTTCACACCTTGTTCACCACAAGCATTGCATAGAGGAGTCCCATTTTTTCTTTTCAGCACCTGCTACCTAGTCCAGGGGAAAGAAAGTGCTGAAGGGACAATTCCCACAGCATCAGGTCATTTCAGTAAATGCTTCCAGAAACACAGCACCCACCTCCTCTCTGCTACAAACACCCATTCACAAAACCCGAGAGAACTACAAGTCGTCCCTGATTCCTTGGAAATGTAGTCAGACTGATGTTGAAACACACCCTCTTTCCCTCAGTGTATAATTGTTCGTGGGTGGAGAACCACCACGGAGGGTAATAGAAGAGGAAAGAGAAAAAGGAAAAAAAGGGAAAGCAGGCTCTGTTTGACCTGACTTCTAAAAATCTTTCTGTTCCTCTTCTCTCGTCCCCTCTCTCTTCTCATTTTTCTAATCCAGAGAATGATGGAGTTACAAGGCAAGGAAATGAATCCGGAAATAGAGAAACGACGCTTGCCTAGAAATTATTTGGGCGAATTATTTAAAGTTAAATACTCCTGGTCCTAGGAAGCCAGCATAATTCATATTTAAAGGAGGTTATCTTTTCTCGATCATGACAGAAACAGGTTCCTCCGAAGATTAAAAAACCCTGTTCCAGAGCGCGTTCTTGCTGTCCTTTAAACTGCGGACTGAGGAGAGGTGGAAAGCGCTGATAACCTGTGAAAGTGCAAAGACTCTCTCACGCCGGTGGCCAAGTGCCCACCGGCCAGAGCTCTTCCCTCCTAGCCCTCATCATTCGTGACTCTGCAAGACACCAGGACTCAGACGTGTGTGAGTGCGTGTGAGCGAGACAGGCGAGAGGAGAGTGCGCTCTCCACATGTGGAACCCTGCGCCTGCCTGTCTCGTAGCTTGCATCCATTCATATGCATGCAGTGGTTAAATATTTGATCAAAGGTGGAATAGCTATACTGATCGGTTGTATTTTTTAATAGGCACACCTTAAAATAGAGGGTTCGTACATTGCAAGTGTGAAGAGATTCTGAGGATAGCCCCTGTGCCTCTAACCCTTTCTACTCTTCCCTCCCCCGTCTCTACTCCCCCCCAAAAAGGGAAAGCTTGCAGCAGACTGTAGAAGGATTTGGGTCTGCGGCTCAGAGAAGGGGATTAGGGCCAGAGCGGTGCAAGTTAAATTGTGCTGCAAATAAAAAATGGGCGGATTGGTCTCTAGATTCAGAGGCTGGTACCACCTTCCTTTCTAAAATAAAATCTCTCTGGCATGAAGTCACCGCCTATTTCACATCCGGTTTGCCCTGGGACGTATTACTACTGTCTTGGTAAAGAAAAATCTTTTGTTGTATAGCTGCAGATTGGAATATCGGGAAGCAAATCCGGGTGTGAAAGCTCCAGCAGAGGAGCACGCAGAGCCCACGATGGCTCAGCCCGCTCAGAGCGAGTGAGCGAGCGGCGGAGCGAGGACGCCCCTCCGCTGCCCGCGCGCCCGGGCTCGCGGACTCGCGCCGGCTCCCAGCTCTCCACGATTTCCTCTCGCAGACTTTTCCCGGGTCTGGAGCGATCCTGTGCCCAGAGGGGGCCCGAGGTAAGTGCGGCTTCGGACCGCAGCGCGCAGAGCTTTGGACGTGCCTTTTCCTTGCTGGAGAGACCAGAATGCAATAGGGAAGAGAGAAAGAGGGAGCAGGACAGGAACCTGATCCCACAGCAGGTAGACACAACGAATGTTCTTCTATCAGGGCTAAAACCGCAGCGGTCTAGGAGCATTATCGTCATTATTATTATTTTCCCCGTCTTTCTTTTCTTTCCTTCCTTTGGCAGGCAGATTTGAATGTATTCCGCGGGGTGGGTGGTGACATGTTGTTTTGGTCTCTCTTTTTTTTTTTTTTTGGCAAAAGGGAGCTGAGGTGAAGTGGGGAGGGGCGTTGCGGGGGGCATCCTCTAAAGTTAAGACGCTGGTATAGAAAACATGTCTCAACGTTGCATATCTTAGGGAAGGCACTCTGCTTCTGGGTGCAAAAAAAAAGCCTCTTTTCTTCTTTCCGGTGGACGCTGCTGAAATGCCCTCTGGTGTAGGGGTCTCTCCCATTCTGAACACGAAGAAAAAAAAACTCAAGTTCTCATTTGATGTGGGTGGCATGGGATATGGGTGTTTGGAGTGTGTGTTTGATGAGGTGAGGTTGAAGGTGGAAAAGGGTTAGGAGACAGCTTAGCGTTTCTCTTAAACTATTATGTTTGTATTTGCAAGAAACTTTCTTACTCAACAACTCAAGTGCCATGATAGGTTTGTTTTCCTCTTTTTAAAATGTCAGAGGGGGACAGAAAGCAATGGTATCTTGCTTTGGGGTTTTGTTTTGTTTCATTTATTCCTTCGGGAATTACCCTTTTTTTATAAAGATCAACAAATATTAATAGGGTAGGGGAAGTTGTTTTTCCTTCATAACAGATGTTGAAGATTAATAAAAGATTAATATAATTATGCAATTTAGATGCAATATTTTAACATGAGGATATTTATCCAATATTCCTCATTCTATTCAACTCTTCTGTGTTAAAAGCAGTCACTAATTTAGGGAAAAACTGTGAATCTCACAGTTCTTATCTCTAGATCTAGACTGTCCACTGTAAGCACCTTAATTATGTTTCATTGCTTACACTGCCATTTGGAATGATTTTTACTGATATAAATGATCCCAGAGAGTGCGGAAAGCATTTGTGTAGATGTATTTAAAGGCATACCACATTAAACTATAGAGTGTCTCATGAAAAATACGCTTTAAAAGACTTGCAGTCCATTAATCACTGACCTCCTGAAGGATTCAGGGAAGTGCTAACAAATTTTACCTTGAACATTCTCATAACTGGAATCAATTATAGCACATTCAAGTAAAGTGTTACCATATCTTCTCCTTCTCCAGGTAGTGTACTTATTTTTAAAAACTGCACAAATAGATAATTTTAAAAATTCTCTAAGCTTTCCAGACTCCTTCATCCCTCCAGCATCCCACTACCTAAGTCTAAATTCAACAATCAGATGGTGATTGATTGCACTTTACCTAAGAGGGAAAAAAGATTCCCTTATTCATGCAAAGCAAAGCACTCCAGTTTCCATCTGTTTGAGATGAAACATTTTCTAGCAGCAACCCGGCAGAATCCAAGAGGGCTTAAAAGATATGTGTAGGCATGTTTGTGTGCATTTCTGCGAGTGTGGTTTGTGTGTGAGAGACCAGCACATGGACTGACTATAAAGTGTGTCCTTTAGCCCCACAGAAGCACTAGTGAGCATATTTAACAAGGCAATCACAGGCAGAGAATTGCAAGCACCACTTCAGGATTCAACAGCACATCTCATGATTTTTTTTTTTAAAGATAAATAGCAGTTGCTTCTGAAATCAAGGTGTATCCAGAACCCCAAGATGAATTCAGTTATCAAAGCATAATAACCTACCCCATCACAGCCCCCGAACAGGCTCTCTCCATTGTAGACACCAGCTGAAGATATTTAATGCACAGTGCAGTTGTGGGAACTCAAATCAGAAAGGTCAAATTTATCAGATGATAAACAAGAGGAGAGTAATTCAAACTATACTGGAAATATAAAGCCTACAGAAAAAAACAACTCACAATTGTATGTTGAGCAATCTTATCACCTGAGAGCATTCAACTTGTATTCTTTTACGGGAGAAATTAAGACACTGATATTTCTGAATGGAGAAATGGAAGAAAAAGTGGAGAATGGATGGTCCAGGTTTCCATTGCTTCCAATGAGGTGTCATATCCCAGTGAGGTCATTTCCTGACTTCAAAGCCTTTATCTGAACTGCCTCAGTCAGCCCTAGTGGTTATAACCTGATGTTTCTTGCAAGAGACATTGATCTCTACTTGTTCTACTTTTCAGCTGCACAAGCCCGCAATGAAGAAAAGTCCGGGTCTCTCTGACTACCTTTGGGCCTGGACCCTCTTTCTGACCACACTGACTGGAAGAAGGTGGGGACGCTTTATTTTAAATCTGCATGAGAATTTCTGTAACTTTTCATTTATTCTTTCTGAGTGAAGAAAATTAACCTTGGATAAATTCATGACTAAGGGGATTAAAAAAACTTAACTGCAATAAAATTCCCGCTAATAAAGTAGAACAGTATAAAAAAATAATCATCTTATTTGCATGTTAGTTAGAATACACTTAACACTCTTTTGTTAAGGAATGTGTTAATTCACCATTTAATTCTTAAATTGAACTTTTCACTGCTCAGTTGTAACCAAACAAAACATGCAGTTTCCTAATTCATAAAAAAGTTACCCCAATTAATATCTGCATACTATGTAAGTTGATTTTCCAACAAGAAAATTTCTAACTAGTTGCAAAGATCATAGAGTAACTTCTGACTATGTGCAAGTAGAAACTTTAGAATAATATTTTTAATTTGAATGTTATAAGTTTTTATAAATGCATGTGCATTTTGTTTTGAAACTATTACTTATATAACTAATAGAAGTAGAGTATACAAGACACATTTAAGAACAGTAGATAAAACTGAACTTCTCTATTTAAGTTTACTCTGGAGACAAGTTATGAGAAAAGTGTAATAATGTGATTAACTATATTCAAAATATTAGTTAATGATCCCATCAAGCTTATAGATACATTATAATAGCAGAGATATAAATGACCAAGTATTTCATATTCTCCTTTATCTGCTTTTATATTTCTAGTATAATCTATTCCTGTGGCCAAAGTCTTAGCCATACTATAAAAATCTAAGATTCTCCATAATGTAACGAAAAGTGAACCCTTACAAGTTAAGGCAAACAGATGGAATAGTCTGGAAATATAAGGATTTAGGAGGATTTTTTTCAATTGAGAAGTTGTCCATTTTTAATGTTTGTTATTGTGCATAGTGAATAATGACTGCCAGATGAACAGGAAATGCATTATTGTCAGATACTCTTAATCTGAGGAGTAAAAGGTTCCTCACTGCTTTTGAAAAATTATATGAAGTGTTACTATTGTGATGACCTGTAGATGGAGTTAGTGCACAGTGTTTTGTTATATAGTGGCTCATACGGAATCAAAATCAAGTACTGTAACTGACATTTCTCTACAAATTATAAATTATATATTCAGTTTAGGAGACATTACATTGGCATGAGTGTTTAATAGCAAATAAATAATCTTGATCTTTATCTTAGGCTTATTCTTTTACAATTAAATAGTAAATGAGAATTAAAGATGAAGCATAACCTGATTAAGAAAATCACATAAAAGAATGATTATCATTCCAGTTGGCAGAGCAGAAATGGTTTGCTGGGAGGGAGGGAAAAGACTCTTTTGGCATTTGTATTCCAGTGCAAACAACTGGTAAGAACAACATTTCTAAAATCAAACCAGGGAGAGAAAAGCCTTTCCTGAATTTGACATATGCTATAAAAACAAAGGAAATGCAGGTAAAGGTAATAGACCACTCCATTTTGGGGGAACCATATTCGCAATCTAATATGCTCTGTCATGTCACTTCATCTCATCATTTCCCCCTTCTTATTTTAGTGCTTCTTCCTTAGAATACTTGATCAGGCCCTATTTACAACTCAAAGTGTGCTAGCATTTCTTTTCCACCTTTATCAAGATGACCTTCTAGTATCCTTGAAAGATGCATGCATGGCAGTAGATTTTGTGACAATGAGTTTTTAAAAATAATTGCCTTCAGAATACTATTTTTGCTTTACTGCTGTCATCTGCTAGTGAGACATCCTGGAAGACACAGAGCTTGTTGAAAATTTGATTTCAGAAACCAGGAAGATCTTTAATTCTGTCAAAAGAGAGTAAACCCTCAATCTGCATGGTATTAATATTGAATTTATGATACTGTAAAACTGTTTCAAAGAGGTACATTTAATATATTTCATATTCATGAATAGATTTTAGTTATAATAGCTTATTAAAATTTTATCAGAAAAGTTTTGCATTTTACCAATATAACATTAATTACCTAAACAATAGTGTTTGTTTTTTAATTGATACTTGATTATATTTCTTGCTTTTGTCAAATAAGTGAATCCTGGTTTCAACTGTTGCTATTTTTTTTAGATTAATCAGTAATATAAACACACAAGTGAGAAGCCAAAAGCATATTACGTAGAAAGTATGAGAGTGATATTTTTATGTCAGTTTTTTAGTTTACACTCTATATTCATTTTTTCTCAAGGTCAGAGCTATCAATGAAATGTCTCAGTAAGTGTGATCTATCCTAAAATAGAAGACTGTTCTCCCAAAGGATTTTGGAAGTGTCATCTTAATCATTACAGAAAATATGACTTAAGGAGCATAGATAATAATGTGATTGATATAATAAATATACAGTATTTGAACTGTGGTTATTACATGATCAAAATTCAAAGACTAGTAATGATAAGGGGTTAAAAACTAGATATTCATATAGAAAGAATTAAACAGAAATAATTACTCTGATATAGAAGAATGAAAATAATGTTTTAGACTAAAAGTTAAAGAAAACTGGATTCTAGTTCAAACTCTGCTCACAAATAGCTGTGCTTTCTTAAAACAGTAATCTTGCATTACCGCTTAGTAAAACCATAAATTTAGAATATTGGACCTTACCTTTTCCAGGGTATATTTTACTTCTAAGACCAACAAGGACAAAAATTCAATTAATTAGAGGTTTGAATAGACAAATTATAAAAAGTTTTGGTTTATTGGTTCATAAACCTTGATGGAAATAGAAATTACACACTGATGTGAAGAAATAATTATCATAAGTAACAAGTTCTATCTATTTTTTTCATTTAAACACCTGAAAGAACATCAAAAACCACAAAAGAAACATAGGAAGTGGACGAAGGGAGGCATGTTGGTAGATGCAATTTTCAGATTATTCTACATATTAAATGAAAACAAAGATATTAACTACTTTGGTAGCTCATAAATACATTTTTTTAATTTGGAAAGAAGTTTCCCAGATTTCGGTTTTTCAGTAGTATGCATTAATGTTCTTGCTTCACCAGAGAAAACATGCATTACAACTTTGTACACACACTGAGAATTATAAATGTAAAGAGACAACTCATGTCGTATAATTTTCCTTCCATAGTTAGAAATATTAGAATATAGAGCATATCATCTATGAGAACAAATATGAGAAAATGTTAAGAATTAAGCTTTTTTTTTTTACTTTATCAGAAGGAATTTTCAAATTAAGACTCAATAGAAAGGAATTTGAAAAAATTGCAGAAGGCTTTACTTGGAAAAAGGTTTTAGTCAAAATGTATAATTTGGCTATTGCCTCTGATATTTCAGCTATGGACAACCCTCATTACAAGATGAACTTAAAGACAACACCACTGTCTTCACCAGGATTTTGGACCGACTCCTAGATGGTTATGACAATCGCCTGAGACCGGGATTAGGAGGTGAGCAGCATTATTGTGTTTTATTTTAGAGAACAATATTAAGCCTTTACTATTAAAACATTGCTTCCCTCTACATGGTAAAGTAAGAAGAATGACAGCATGTAGTGTAATGACTCATCCTATTTTCAATAGATTGACCAATGTTAATTCAATTTTCCATGGTCATCCCATGCACATACCCAAACGTGATAAAAGACAATTCAAACTTCTCATAATGTCATGAAAGTAATGTTACATTTACTTGACATTCATAATCGTTTGCAAGTATGATTTGATTTTACAAGGGAGAAAGGCAGGTAATATTCTTCCTTCCAGCCCAAAGACTGCATTGCTATTTCATTCCACATTGCTTTGTTTGCATTGGATTCAACTAGAATATCTCTGAATCTGTTGCTGTAAACATTTCTTGTGGAATATTACAGACTGATCCACTATTTTGTGTTAGATTAACCCCATCTCTGGGACGAAAGGTGAATGAGATAGATGGTAGTATTTTTTATCTCGGTGCATTTAAACTTAAACTGTAATTTTCTGTAGTAAAAATGTATTTTTCTTTGTATACCAGTTAATTGGTTTACTAATGAATTTCTACTCAGGAAGAAGATAGCACTTAATAATACAATATTTATAACAATAAAAGCAAATAGTACAAGACATTACACACTTAAATAGCTTTGAATAAGATAACCAACCTACCTTATTTAGTTAAGCAAAGAATAATAAAGTCAAAACAAAATATTGATCTCAGAGTAAAACAAATGAGGCAAAGAAATGAATTATTATTCAAAGTCACATAAGAAACTAAGGTTAGAATCTATGACTCCAAACTATTATTTATGCTGTACTTTATCCAGAGCATTTGTTGAAACTATTTAATAGAAATATTTAAATTACTATGAAATGGCAGTTTTAAGAAATTCATCTCTTCTCCATCTAGACAGCAAAGATATGCAAAGAATAAGAAGCTTAAGAATTCAATTTGTGATTTTAAAACAGAATGGTAACATGGATTTAGAATCCATCATTTTAAATCCATGGATTTAGAATCTTCATTTTAATACTTTAGGTAGTGTGATCACAAGGTCGTAGGTCTGCTTTGAGACCGCCAAATGCCACTAGTGTCTCAGAGGTTTAAGGGAAACTCCTTTGTCAAAGGTGCAATTCAGAAATATGTCAAAGGTCTTACCAGGTGTCCCTTCCTATCAATCTCAAACATTCATTCTAGGACATGCTATACAAATTCCTCCAGGTTTGTTGTATTCCACTTGGTTTCCCCTTACTAAGTTCTTTGAAAAAGTATTAAGGAATAAAATGTATCGGTCACAAAATAGAGTGCATAAATGTGTGTGTGCTGTATTAATATAAAATCTCTGTATATCTAAACATCTAGAGCAGTTTCAGGAGAATTGTTCTTAGTTTATAAAATTTGAAATAAATTGCAAATACTGCAGGTAGGGGAGGAGCAGACAAAAACAGTCAGAATAGTGATAATAACGTTTACGAATGGGCATGCATCTGATTTGTTTACTTATTCATCTTCCTTCTCCATATCAATCCATAGAAAATCTGCAGAATTTTATAATATATCTAGAAAATCTTATCTTCATTCTAGTTTAGGAAATTGCATTTAATACTTTAGCATGTGAATATGAGTATCCTCTTTTAAGTTCTGTGCATAGTTTTAAGTTTGTTAAACAATTTTATACACACACATACACACATACACCTTCTTTAATAATCAGCTAAGTGGTCATATTGTTATTTGGAGTACAGATAACACACCCATGACTGCTCATTTAAATTTACTTATATATAATAACTTTAATAAATGTATATGTCAATTCTTTAATTAAATATAATGTAAGCAGGAAGCATTTCACCTACTCCTCATATGCATACCTAAGTCTTGGAGAGTCACAAACCTTGAAGATACATAATACAGACTCAGAATGAGTTTAAAAGCTACTCTTTCAAGATCAGGATAATAGTGAATTTATTATACAGAAATAACTACATTAATTCAGGCAGCAATTTTCATGGAATCTAATATATTATCTACTTAACCCCCTCAGAATAACAAAGATAGTTATGTAAAGAACAGAGAGTAGTGGTAGGCTAAATATAGATAAGATATATTCTTTTTAATTGAAGTGAATATAATGTCCTCTACCATAGTAGAGGATTCAAGAGCTCAGGAAAAAGTTTTAAAATGGGTCTGCTTTATTCTTTTTAAAGAGGATTTTCTGATATTTGTGATTTCTGGAAATGGTGATTTTGAGGTTATGATAGACATGAAAACAAATTTTAAAGTAGCCTAAATAATTTCCTTTATTTCTATTTTATGTGTCATCCTAGAACATACTGCAATTAAATCTGATGGATTTGAGATTTATGAAAAAGTTTTAATACTATCTTAATTTTTGTCATTTTTTGGAGTGCCTTTTCAGTTTTAAGGGATATAATGGGATGTGTTTATTGCCTATCTCATTTACCAAAATGTTTAAGTACATTTTGAGAATGTTTATCTATCTTTAGAAAAATACAGCCTTAAATATTAAACACAGTTTTTAGATATTTTATAAACATAATGAGCTACAGAATTAGAGAAAAATGTTAAAATCATGCATGATTTTTGGATGCTATAAATTGAAATTATCTATTACATACATTTCTACAGAATTATTTAATTCTATGTCTTTACCATAGATTTCTGGTAAGCTAAGTTTAACATGCATTCTAGTAGCTCTCCATTATAAAAATCAAGTTTTTACATGATTCATTTGCTTTTCAATGCAAAAACTATGTAGAGGCAATACTTGAAAGATTATCATTAGCTTATAAAGGGGGTAAAAATTTCCTCATAGTGGGTTCATGATCACAGCTGGAATAATCTTTTCTTGCAAGAGAAAGGAGCTCACTGTCTTCTTTATTATGATAAAAGTCTGGTTTTATAAAAATAACAACATTGTGCAGAAGGCAGGGATATTTTGTTCTGAATGCCTTGATAAAATATAGAAATGTGATAAGCTAAGACTTGAGACTAATGTAAGAAACTCTAGTACGTGCAGTTTCATCATGACCTGTCTTTTAGAAACACACACAGCATCCAAAGGTGTAACATTACTCTTTGGAAATGTACACCCTAGATCCAAAAATTAAGAAACAAATTTAAGGACAACATAAAAAATTATATCCTGGAAGTCTATCTCAATTTAAAAAAGATAACACTAAAAAGGATAGTGTGTGGAATTCTAGTAATATCCTCTATTCAGGGACATAAAGAGAAAAACATTTGGCAAATTCATATTTTAAGTACAAAATTAAGGAAGGAAGCTTTAAATAGACTTGAATTGAAATAATCTGTAGCCAGAAAATAGAAATCAAAGTTATCAGTGATTGTTGCGTTCATTCTCATCTAATACTGCCTTCCTTGAGGGCAAGGTGTGGAAGGCTCCTTCTTCCTTGCAACCAGGGACCAAAGAATGTTTTTGAAAGGCTCTTGCCTAAAGCATGGTTACCACAGAAGAATAAAATGGTTGAGGAAGGAGAGGAGGTAAAATCCAGAAAAAAAAAAAAAAAAAGGAAAGGTTAGAGCAGAAAGGAGAGCAAGAGGGTATTGAAAGAGGGTATTGAAAATAAGGAGAAAGAATAGAGAAAAGTGAGAGAGCTGGAGAAGGCAGAGGCGAACAACTAGAGAAGCTGGTACAGGAGAGGCATCTGTGTTACGAGGCTGGCTAGGCTCAGGTGTTCCTTGATTAATCAAGATTCCTTTTTTCATTTTAAATCAAGACAAACCAAACACCTTCTGAGGAAATCTGTTTTCTCAAGGTTTCTCCTTATTGGCTGTGAGTCTAAAACTAAAGAAGCCTAAATTTTCTCCAACTTTCTAAAACATTAAATGATGCTCTCCCCCAAATTACACCTATCTGGGTAAAATTTCAGCCATCATCGCATTGGCTTTCCCTGCACTCTAGGAGTAACGGTAAGAACAATCCAGAAACAAAGATCCAAAACTGCATTCTGAAGAAAGTTTTCAGGTTTTTAAGGAGAAGCAGTGTCCTTCCAGTAACATCTTCCCCGCCCTCTCTGCCCCACCATTTAGACAGGCTGTGTCTCTCTTTGCAGTGAAGGAGTACCCGTGTGTACTCATCATGCGACAAACCCAGATGGATGGGAGCAGTAAATAGGTAGGTAGGAATGTAGGTAGAGAATTGATTTTATTCCTGATTTTTTTTTTAATCACTGAGTCGTGTCTGACTCTTTTGCAACCCCATGGGCTGTCCATGGAATTTTCCAGGCAAGAATACTGAAGTGGGTTGCTATTTTCCACTCGAGGGGATCTTCCTGACCTAGGAATCAAACCTTAGGTTCCTGCCACATCTCCTGCATTACAGGCAGGTTCTTTATGACTGAACCACCGGTGAAACTACTTATTTATTCCTTCTATACACTTAACATATTTAGTTAAGATTTTCTTCTTTTTCCTGTGTTACAGAATTGGGTTGTTGTTGTTGTTGTTTTAGATTTTACTTAATTGAAGCTATCAGTTGGATGAGTATTTATAACTGGAATGTAGCTGAGATTTTCTCTCAAGGTATTTGAGCACTGACATACTATCTGATAAACAATCTATGCCTCAAAGCATACTCCTTATCTTCTTGATTTTCCCAATTTTGGATTTTTTTATGCCTGTATGAGACCTTTTAGACTTCCTTTAGCCTAATAACTGCAAGAGATCTCAGCTTTAAGATAACAAGTATCTCCCACCAGGCAAGGAGACTGGGCTGGATATGAGTGCTGCTGGCAAAGTGGTATTGGCTCCTTGGGGAATTAACTTGGCATCTTGGGTTATGTTTCTTTATGTCAAAATAATTCAAGGTGGAACACTAAAGAGTGCTCTGAGGAAAAAAAAATCAGATTAACTTCTGTGAAATTTTGTGCAACTTTACAAACTTTAGGTAACTAGACTTTATCTCAAGATGAAATCTGATATTCATGTG